GGTATTTTTCTCTCCTTCTTTCGTTTGAGCGACGGTGTTAACACCGCGCAATGTATACGCTCGCAGACGATGCATATACATGCGTGTCACAGATCCATCGCGCTGTGTGTAGCCTTTATAGCTCTGTCTTGCTCCCAGGCACGGCTCAATGCACTCAGGTGTGAATGAGACGACTCGGAGCTCCGGGGTTGGGCTGCCCTTTTGCTCTGGTTTGTCATGGCATTTGTTTATTTATTTGGTTTTAAATGCGCATATTTAAAAAAAATGTCACGCATTAATTTATAATGTCCTACCGCGTTTGAGCGAACAGGGAGGGGAGCCTGATAGGATTTCTTGTGCGGGTGATGGGTTGCGTGATGGGATGAGCGGGGGAATGCATCGCGAATGCATGCACAGTAATATGTGTGGAGGGAAGAGGTCCTTGGGGAGGACCTGGAATAATACATAACGCCCTCTGTGGTCATAATAATAAATGACCTGTATATGATTTAAACTCGATACAAAAAATGTTTTGGAATTGGACTTTTCAAAATATTTTGGTTTGGTGTTACCCTGACCTGAAAACCTCAACAATAATACTAACCCCTTATTTGTAACCATAGTCCTACCCGTAACACTGGCACTCTCTCAACTTTGCACAACAAACGCGACTTAACCCATTCCATATACCAATCGTAAGACCAATGCTAGCCCCATCCAAACGACTAAACCCTAAGCCTTACTGGATGCCAGGGGGCCCAATTCACATAGCTGTCATATTCTGGCGATCATTCTGCCACATTTTAGTGGAATTGAGGCCATTTTTCTAAAAAAAAAAAACCTCGACTCACACGGTGATCATTGTCATCGTTTAGCATAACCATTATTTTAATTTACCACAATAACTGCTGTCATCGTGGTAATCACCGCTAAGGCGTCTTTTGATGAGTGCATCCATTCCGCACCTCGGTGGGTGATGGAGCACGTTGTACAGACACGTTCGGTGGCTCCGTCTATTCCTGGGTGATGAGACAATCCAGAGCCCGATTGGGTGGGCCGGTCCATTGGTGGGACAAGCGTGCTGATGTCATCATACTAATAAAGCCTCGCAAATCTGGTCAGTCCCTCCCCCCAGATACCGAATGTTCGATTTGATGTTTTTGTATTTTTGCGGAATGGGGCTCCACCACCCCTTCTGCACCACGGCGAAAAGTTTCACAAACTGCAACGTGAATTAGACGAAATTGATTTCGATGTAAAGCTTTCGTGACTGCAGGGATTCATCTTCTTGGTTCTTTCGGTAAAGTCACGTAGAAGGAAAATAATAAAATAATACAAATAAAATAATTTTATTATGTTTTATTTTTTTATTTTCCTTCTACGTGACTTTACCGAAAGAACCAAGAAGATAGACGAAATTGCTTTTGTTTAATGTCGGGCCCCCAAAATCCAAAAGTTATTTTTTATTTCATTGCTCGGTCAGGGTTTTGGGTTTTTTTTTACCTCCCTCGCCGCCCTCATTGTGAATATCAGCAAGATCCACACACAGCTTTCACTCGCAATCCCCTGGGCCACCACACGCCCGGACCCACTCACCTCTCGCTGACCGCCAGCCACTACATATCGACCTGTCAATCTGGGGCGGCGGGTGACATTCCGGATAGAATGCTGTTCAAAATACGGCAGAGTAAATAAAACGGCACCTCGCAAATGCATAACGCCCTGCGTTATTCATGTGTTCAAATCTTTTGCGGTTCATTAAGTTTTAAGGAAAACCGGGAGAGAACTGAATAGGAACGGTTATTATTTCAAAGTTTTGGATTCGGCCTTTAAAACTCGCAATTGCCTAGTTCTGTCCGTGGAGGCTGGCAGGGTGTTTATCATGCAATATACGCTTTACATTTTATTGGAAATTGCTAAACATCCCATTGCAGGACCCTCCGAAAAATGAGCCTCGAGTCTCAGCGAGGCTTTCCTGCATAAAATAAACACAACACAGATTCGAATGACATCCCACACCAACACTGCCGACAGCCTTTAGAGATAAAAGTAAAGAATCCAAATAGCATCCATAATAGAGGTTGTTTTGGGTTATATATAAATGTGTCGTTAAAACCCACCACCACCCGACACAGCCAACCAGTAAGGGTTGTCACGTAAACAGAACGTGGCCAATTCGTCACCCTTACTAGTTGTCTGTGTCGGGTGGTTGCGGGTTTTAACGACACATTTATATATTTACGCGATCTAACCCAAAACAACCTCTATTATGGATGATATTGGTCACGAAAGCCTACGTGTTAAACCAATAAAAACAGCGTCCAGATGATGCCAATGAGGATGTAGTTAAATGGATGGTTCAGGGAATTGAACAAATAACTTCACACGAGCTGGCTTCGGCGGCAAACACGCTGACCAACTATATTATCTGAAATATGACAAATTAAACAAATAGCCAGCAGAGTGAATTCGCTGAAGCAGCAACATTGCATATGCCGCACATAATGACAACATGAATTTTTCATACTACAGGATACCTATAATGGTATTTTGCACACATAAATTGGCCCATTCCATTTCTCTGCTTCATAAGCCATTCATAAACCAGCCAGATGTGCTGGGGGTAATGGGAGATATTGGCCTCTATCTGTAATTCGTAATGCCTGCATGTGGTACAATCCTCTGCGTCGGCAGAACATGTTGCCACCACGAGTAAATCTTGCAGAATTGCTTGCTGGATAATAAGTGCGGCCACACAGACGCATGCCCATCCTCTACGGCGCCGTCGTCCAGCTTGCTTGCTTGCTATGTGACGCTTCCCAGCTACGAGGTTGCAAGCTTTAATGTATTAACTCTGTCCGTCTGTATGTCTGTGTGTAAAAACGGGATTGCGGTAATGCTCATTAAGATAATCGAACGTACATTTAAATGTTACTGTAAAAGTTGTCTTATCCTGGAAAGATATACATTGAGCCATCACCGCCGGTTGAACAGGTTGCTTCTTGCAAGTTCAATTAAAAATTTCAGCCGGAGCTGTCCGGGGCTGAGTTGCAGAAACTATTGCCCCTCCCACCCCCTCCCCCCTACTCGCTGTCAGATGTGAGAATGGGACTCGGGGAGTTTGGGGCCCCAGAAATAATTCCCTGAGAAACGAAACCCTGGTGACTCGGATGAAACGGCAGTAAGAGTTGTGAAGTAGAAACAGTATATATATTTTAGTGCTCAACAAGCTCAATAAAGACACACGCGCACACAGCTATATGTGTGTGTGTACACAGTACAACGTTGCAATCCGATTCACTGGAGTCTGAAGCATAGGCGGATGTGTGAACGTCTACAGCAAATGACCGTGACACGAACCGTGCACAAGCAGGTTACTGGACAGGTATAAAGCGCACACGACTCTGATCGCGAGTTTAACGATGCATTTGCTGCGTGTGAAACGGTCACCTTTGTGAACGGCTGTAGCAAATGACGGCTTACAACTGGGTTTGGCCGGTTAATTGATCAGGGCGGATATGAAACGTCCTGTATATATATATGTGTTTTTTAATTCATAAAGAGCTCATTCTCACTCAATGCACAGCGCGCATGGACGTGCATGTCCCACTGCAATGTCGATATGAAGCTGCGTCTCCCGCTCCACGTTAATGTGATGAAGGAAGGACGTTAATGTGATGAAGGAAGGACGTTAATGTGATGAAGGAAGGACGGGCATTAGCCTGCGCTGATTAAGAGCGTCAGTCTAGAATCCCGGTTGGGGATTCACCGAGCCCATCATCCCTCCGAGGTCAACTCAATGTATATACCACTCATTTGAGCAGCAAATCACCTCGGCTTGCTAATTGTCAAACATTATATATTAATCTTCTTGGTTCTTTCGGTAAAGTCACGTAGAATATTATATTATTTTATTATGTTTTATTTTTATTATTTTATCATTTCCCTTCTACGTGACTTTACCGGAAGAACCAAGAAGATGAATCCCTGCAGTCACGAAAGCTTTAAATCGAAATTAACTTTGGAACCTTTCGATGAGCATTGTTGGCTACGTACGGTGCGAAAGAAGTTCGACGGTACGTGAATACATTGCTGTGACGCAAGGCAGAAAGCGCAAACGCCTTGTCACGCGCGTGGCGTGCGTGGGTCAGAGAGTTTCCTGCATTACTACATCGTAAGAATGCACAGCCCTTTGCAAATCTACTGCTGGATGGAAGGCCTCCCCATGCCGTGTGGGTCATGGGTGGTTGTTTAGTTATACTTCACCACCCTGGTCAGCAGTTTGGACTTGGGGGGAAGGAGGGGGGAGTGTGTGGCGACCCTTGACGGGGTTCAGATATCGCGCACAGATGTTAGCAGTGAGCGGGAATTGAACTCGGTTGTACGCGCTCAGCTGCTGTGCTGGAGCTGTCCCGTGGAGTATTATGCAGAGATGGCGATGGCGTTGGGGTGAGAGGCGTGCCATCCAGCAGTGGATTGTCCATGGCTGATGGTGAGGATTATGATGATGATGATGATGAAACACGTTCATAACGCAGTGGGCTTACCATTTTGCCACCGCTTCATCAATCTCTTATAATATTTACCAATTCCCAAAACAGTATATAATAATAATCACAAATGAAACATCCGCAGCAGCGCAGAAGCTGCTCTCGGCGCTTTGCTCGCTAAGCAGGCGTCGCCGTGGGTGACGCGTGAAAGCGGGCAACCCCGGCAACCGAGGAGGGAACGAGGAGGAGGCGCAAGGCCCCGACAGCCTCTCGCTCCTCGCCATTGATCGGCTTTTCGATTTCAATCCTCGAGCGATCGATATGGAAGCCGTCCTGCGGGACCCACAATAACGGGCTAATGAATTACGCGCCGCTGCCATAAACCACCCCGTGGGTGCAGAGAGGAGGGCGGATGAGCGGTTTGTGGGAGGGAGGGAGTGGGAGAGCGGGTGCACGGGATATCGGTGGGGGTGCGGGAAGGGTTTGGGGTATTGTGTTGGGGGGGGGGTAAGGAGGAGGGGGGGGGGCAGAGCGCACACTCGATGTGATCGATAAAGTGCGAACGTCCTCGTTCTCATGCTCGTCCGCACTTGTGAGCACCTGAACCCCGCTTTGCGCGAGCGCTCGCTGCCCGGCTTTCAATGGTGTCCTCCTGTACCCCCCTCCTCCTCCTCATCCCCAACCTCCATCATCCATGCGTTCAGCACTCCCACTCCCACCCCCGCCGTCCTATTCCCAGCACCACCATCACCATCGCTACCACCATCATTATTATTATCATCACCACCACGCTCCTCTCGCCGAAATGAAGTCGGCGGAGTACCCGTGATCTCGCGTCTCGCGTGTATCGAGCAGCCGCGTCGAGTGGAGGAGTCGAGCGCGACGCACCACGGCCATGCGTTTACTGCAGATGCACATCGTGGGGTATCTGGCGGTGATGCTCTCCCTGCCCGGTGAGTGCCATGCAGCAGCAGCAGCAGCTATCGAATGCAATGCACACAGAGACTCGCGCACATATTCGCACGCGGACACGATGAGCGCTGCTGGCCCATGGAGAACCACGCTAGTGCTCCGTTAAAAAAAAAATATTCGCCGATCGGTTTTTATGCGAAATTTAAATTACGAAGCCTGCACACGGAAGCGCGTTCTACGGCGCGCGCGCGCACACCGAGAAACGCGGACACAAAGACAATACCACAGCGCGCGTGTTGGTGCGTGCGTGGGTGCGTGCGCTCGCGCTGGATAAAGACCTCGCAGCCAGCAGCAAGCGGCGGCGGCTGCGGCTCGCCACGGCGTATTATCGCGTTTCCCCGTGTCTGTGCATTGTGTGGAAGGCTCAAAGTCGGCGAGCGTCTCTCTCTGTCGCGAGTTCGAAGCCGCAACTCCCCCGAGCCGCGAACGTCGGCTCGTCCGCGAGGCGCTCTGCGCTTCTCCGCTGCCGATCGCTGCCGGGCGGCTCAGACCGCGCCGCGCAGAGGAGAGCGCAACCCCCGATTATGGGGCGCGTCATTTTACCCGTCAACAGGGAGTGCGACCCCCAATCTGCCGCCGCAGTAATATGCAAATCGCAACGCGTGGACATGCCTGACACGCGAGCCCATTCTAATCGCACGTCCGTCATCCGAAGCGGCGCGGACTCGAGCCGGAACAACTGGGCATCGAACCGGGACAGCGTGGTGGGGGGGGGGGTGGGGGGTGGTGGTGATCGCACGGCCTCGCGGCCGACAGATGTCCGTCCGCGCTTTCAATCACATCGCGCCGATGTCTCCCGAACACATTAAAAAAGGGGAGGGATTTTTTTTTTGCCGAACCTCCCCTTAATTGCGGCTTTAATTGTCGAGCGCGACATGCGCATTTATTTGTTTTGTTCACTGCGCGCGTGCGTGCGCGTGCGCGTGTGCCATTGTGGTGTCCTCGTGTTTTGGCTGTCGCGTTATCGCGCATTCGCACGCGCCCTGAATCACGTTTCACTCGACGACGAGAACCCCGCGACTAATACATCGTCACCATCATCATCATCACGAGCACCGTCGTCGTGATCGCCGCTCTTTTGTTTGCTCGGTGTTTGCAAAGTGTCGGCAGAGAATTGTGGGAACGCCGCTGTTGGGTTTTATACGACGGCGATGAACGTCGCCGTGAATTTTGCTCGGGTGGAGCAAAAACGTAAATAAATGCGCCCGAGTGTTGCACTTGTTTGCGGGCGCCACCGTGGCGAGATGTTAACTACCTCGCTTGGTACACAGGTGGTCGTGGGTTCAACCCTGAAACTCTGACGATGCCTGTACATTTGTAGTTTACACGTTTTCCCTGGTGGTCGTGTGGATTTTTCAGCGGGCTCTCTTTGGTTTTTTGTTTCCCCCGCCACATTTAGAATCAACGTGCGTTTAGAGCAGTGGTTCGTCACATTTACCGTAGCCTTGCGCCCCTATGTGAAGACATACATAGGTCTGATGACACAAAGTAGTTGTACTTACGTGCCCTTGCTGTTTCTTGCTATTGGTTGTCCTACCTGATGACGGACGCTTGTGTTGCGCCCGAAACGTCGTGATTTAATCGATTTTATTTTATACCTACGTCACTTTACCGAAAGAAGCAAAGAGTATGGATCCCTGCAGCCACAAAAACTTCAAATCTAGATTGTATTTCGATGATTTGCCGTCGAAAAAAATCTGGCCATTTCTCGCACCGCACAGGTTAAGCGCCACTGGTTTAGAGCATTTGTCTGCGATACATTTCCACGTAACGATAATCCCCTTCGTGTGTGGTTAAGTCACTTCTAAAAAAAAAGAGAGAGCTACCTAGCTCAGTGGGCGTGCTTGCCGAGTTGACCACACAATGGGGGGAAACCAAAGGAGAGCGACAGCCCACGAGAGAGCATCAACAACAACAACAACAACATCAACAACAACAACAACATCAACAACAACAACAAACAGCCCTCACACGCCGAGCTGCCTGCCCCGCGAGTTGATTTTTTGTTCCCCGAGTTGCGCACCGCTGACCTCGCCTTTCGCGCGACGTGACCCCCCCCCCCACCCCCTCTTCGTGTCATCGCGTAAACAAAGGGCGCTCGGTGAAGCAGGGCCACCCGGAGAGCCGATGGAGACACCTCAAGCGTAGATCAGCCACGTGGGGGGGGGGGGGGGTGGAGTGGGGCTTTGTGGGGACTTCTCATCCGCAGACGGGAGGCTACGTCTCGCAGAACGGCGCGCGCATCTTATGATTTGCGGAAGCATAATATACGCCCAACTCCGTTCTCGATTTATGTAGATACATCTTTCGCAACGTACGTAGCCAACCGTGCAAATCGGAGGTGCTGGGGAAGGACAACAAACTAGACACAGCCTCACATACAGTATACATAACAATGAGAATTCAAATATGTGTTTGAAATCCATCAGTCTAAATTGGCTTTCCGAGCCAATATTATGGTCAAGTAGCATTTCTTCACACGAGCAAGCTCTTGGGCCAGTATTGCACTTTGTGGGTCTCATCAGCAGTATCGTGATTGTGTAACAATTGTTGCGGAGTAGCCATATGTTATTGGACAAAGCACTTCATCGAGACGATAGGGGTAATGGTCAATTCCACATTCAACATCGCTTGCCGAGACGCTCCCCACCTCATCTGCCTCCCCGGTGCTTGACATGTTGCACGTGTTGTGTTTATCATGTATGATTGTTACAGTGATGTTCTTTTTTATTTTCTCAGGTAAGTCTCTTCTGGGGGTGGAGCGGTGGCGTAGCGGTTACCACAATTTACTGTGAACCTAGGGAACTCAGGAGGATTCCCAACCAATGCTAACGTGCATGAGTAGAGAGTGATACTGGTAGGAACCTCCTGGTGACACCAGCCCACAGGGGATTATTGTGTCCGTCCGTCGTGCATCCAAAAATGGGAGGGGTGGGGCTGGGTGGAGAGGGGAGGGAGGGGTGGGGCTGGGTGGGGAAGGTGGGGCTGGGTGGGGGGTGGGAAGGGTGGGGCTGGGTGGGGAGGGGCTGGTCACCCCGTGGTGCCCTTATAAAACTCAACGTTTAACCTTCTCACGCCGGCTTGTGCCCACCCACACAGTCGGCCATATTTGCGGAATACACCACGCCGCCGTTGACCCTGGCCATTGACCGAGCAACCCAACGTTCCTACCAGCTCCCTCCGCAGGAATGTGTTATTTGAACCAGTTTTGAGCCTTTATCCCCTTCATCAAACCGCACTGACCATCGCGGTGAAGTATGGTCAAATAACTCCTATGACCTACATTGTATTGGTGGGAAAGCTTGATTCAGCATTGGATTGCCAAACAAACTGTAAATGAAGCCTTCCTTAGACTCAAGACTCTTTTTTCAGGAGGACTCTGAATTCAGATGTTGGCACAATTTCATTCATACCACGTGCGACGAGATTGGAATAACCCAAAGGAATCCCAAATAATACGAGAGGATTATAACAAAAAATCCGCACAGATAGATTCAAGCACTCATTTCTGTACTGCCACTCTGACCACCTATCAGTGAGCGGGGCTGTGATGTATTCTCAACCATGTTACAACATTTGAATAGTTGCTTGCTAACAAACTGGACGCTCACTACTGGACATCTGTAAAAAAATTGCTTCATAGCTCATCGGATTTCGCAAGGATAAATACAGATTCCATACAGCATTATGTCGTCTAGAATGCTTTAGGCGAGGTGTGTGTGCGAGAGAGAGAGAGAGAAGTGTAGTCGTAAGAGAGTTATTTTGCCTGATTTGCTTATCCAAAAACGTTCACAAGGCTGAGATGGCTGACATGAAAGGGCGCAAAGGAGGACCCTTTTTGGCTGCGTAATTGTCGGCCGAGGGCCTTGCTGGAAGGAAAGACTTGCGGTAAAAAGTTATAAAATGAAAAATAAGATGAGCGCATGAAACCAAACAAGAATGATATGAAATATTAATGATGGCGATGTTGTAGAAAGAGAGCAGAACTTGGAGGCGGCCATGCATGAAGGCAGGAAGAGCATGGGCAGATGTGCCCCAACACTCGCGAATACCGAGGGATTCGAGATGAATTAATGAATTATTTCATAGGAGATATTTAGCATTTGTTCCCTTAACTTTATATTGACATTTGATGATGGTGATGATGATCGAGGCTAATGTGTTTGGTTAGTCGTGCATATTATTCGTAAATATTTCACACGCTCTATTGCGTCAAAGTTATTTGTATTTGCTCTGCATTTTTGTAACGCCTACGGTTTTCTCGTAAATTAATCGCACGCATGGCTACAGATGGCGCCTTATCTCCAAACCCAAGAACATAAAACATAAATACGACGTTTGCCATCGCAAGAGCAATGACAGATGGCATCTTAGCCTGTTCAGAAGCTTCGTTACATTCGCAAAGCAACATGAATCACAGCTCTGTGCACGCAAACCGCCCCCCCCACCCCCTTGGGAAAATCAGCCGAGTCGATGCGTTTCGGCGGTCGTTGAGTTTGTCAATACGAGAACCTGGCCCCACCACATGACGCGAGCGTGCCTGCATCGCAAACCTCGCGATGTCTCGGCATCGTTGTCAATCCACTGCTGGATGACGGGCTGCTCATTCCCGCAGTGATATCGGGCGCAATTGACGGCTCCGGGAGATCGGTATTTAATGTCTTCTGTTGCGTTGCGCGCTTGCCAGTTAGCCTTCCGTCTCGTTAATGTCCCCTAATTGGTTTCTTGCATCCCCTGCAGGCTCTTCCCACTGCACCGTGAGGCGGCGGGGGGGGGGGGCGGGGGGGGCGAGTCGCCAAGAGGAGGTGGGGGGAAGGGAATGGGGGGGGGATAAAAAAATCACAGGACCTCCGGTGCCTAATGAGAGCCCATGGCTGTCACGTGCACAGGGGCAGCTGCCGGGTCGATGCTTCGAGATTTAGACGTCATTTGGTGCAGAGGAGTCAAGCCGCTTCGCTCCCGCAATCGGATCGCGAGGCCGGCTCGTTACGAGGCGCGGCAAATGCCTTTTGAAAAATCGCGAGCCGCCTCATTGATTTAGCATAGGACGGGCGCAGACGCGTTATGTAATTGCCTAATATAATACAGAGACTCATAGCGCAGCAGGTGGGTGTAATTTACATCAATCATTACCGGACGTAATATCATGTTGCATTAAGCAGGCAATCTATTGCAGGAAACCTGTGCGACATCGCCGTCCGCATGCTTCTCCGCATGCTTCGCTTTCTTTCTCAATAATATCTATTTTCTCTTTCGGATCTCATTTCTTAGCCGTGGTATTTTTTTTGCTTTTCCCAGGATCCGATTAGGTGGAGTTGATATTGCTTTCTTTCGCTCTAAAATGTGTGTTATTGATTTTTTTTTGCTTGGAGGAAAAAGTTTAGATTTTGTGTTTCTCACCCTCCCTCTCATTCTCTCGCTCCAACCGAAGAATTGCCAATGTTGCAGATCAAAGCTGGACCCAGGCTAACTTTGTTCCACTTAGCTTTGACCCCGCTAGCAATTACATTCTGGCCAATTGTCGCGTAACCCTGCACATTTCTTGGCCCGCGTGAAATGACATTACGTGGATTTGAGAGCACCGTCGAGTCTGAATGAGACTGAAGTTCAACAACAGGGAGAGAGATCCGTGAGCTGTGATGGTTGATTGCGTGCAGAATTTAACACTCGAACTCCTTGGGGTTCCTGCCACCCAAGATTCTGGCTCTAGGCCAGCTGTGATAATGCACTCTGAAGGCGAGGCTTGCTGGATCAGATGTTAAGCTATCGTAGTGGATCAAACCTGGATGATGCAAGGGGTAAGTCGTTACGGTTAACCTGGCCCGCTCGTAATTACAACCTGGTCAAACGTTTGAGCGAGGTTGGTGGATTCTTTTGGATCAATTCAATAGTCGGCTTTTCTCCCACGCGCCAAAGCACTGAAAGCGGAATTAGGCCGAATATCAGAATGCAGGTTACTCCTGAAAAATAGTATTGAGACTCGGCGAAGCTTTCCAGGCTAAAGAGAAAGCATTATTGCTGTGATACGTGCCCCGGATGAAACTGCACACGCAGCAGACACGTCCATTCCCCGCCACCTCGTACCTTCACCTGTCCGACTGAGTTTTATTTGGCACGGCGGATGAAACGCAATTTTGTCAGTAAATATTTTTTTAAGCAGGCTCACCCCCCCCCCCACCACCACCCCCATCCCCTCCGCGCGCGCGCGTTTAGACAGTTCAATAAACTGTCCAGCCAAGACTCATTCCGCACGCTGACGAAATGTGGCCGTGGCAAGGACGTCAGCTCCTGCCGCAGGTGGGAACAGCGGCTCCACCTTTCGCCACGCCATTTCCCCGACGACGAACGAGCGGAGATTGAGCGCCGCGACATTTGTGTGGTGGGATGGCCCTGGGGCCGCTGTGGTGCTGCTTCGTGGGCGATGGCTCACGAAGCGAGTGCGATGATGATGGGGGGTGTGGGGACGTGACTCTGGTTGTTTGCTCGTGACGGCGATCGTGTGAAGAGTATTTTCACAACTTTGAAGCATGGATCACTGAACATGGTTTCACAAAAGGTCACTTGAAATCCACGACTTATTTTCGAACTTTCTTTTTTCTCCCAAGTGTTGGGTTGCATTTGCCACGTGTCTGTGGTTTGGACTGTGTTTTTTTTCGGCACGTGCAAGGAGCATATTTAGTTCCTGATGAAGCTCCCAGCACCTGAAATGAAACGTCGGACAACCGCAAAAACCTAAACAAGAGTGTAATGCATGTCTATATCGTCTTGGAGATTTTTTGAAGTCGTTTGAGCAGACAGTTGTACCTGGATCATTCAATCAATCAATTCATCTGTATTTTGTATTGCGCCTATCATGAAATGATTGCTCTCAAACAGATTTATGTACAAAAAAACCAAAAATTTTAAATGAATAATGAAACATTTGTCCGCAGTTTCATCAGAAAGAATAACCACAAACAGCCAGTAAGTATAAAACAACAACACTGCAAGAAGTGGAATGATACAAATAAATAATAACAACGCAGATATCAGCATGCGAATGCTGCATCATACACATACGTTCATAATCTTGTTTGAATAACAGCAACAGAGGGAGCCTTCTTTACTGATCGTGGGAGATCATTGTATAGTTTAGATGCTCTTCATGGAAATACCCTGCCACCTGGATTATTTTCTCTGCACCCTTGCGGAACTGTGCAAGGTTGCATCCTGTAATCAAAGAAACACACATAGCATCAACATCATCAGTCATGATCAAATCCACTGCTGGATATAGGCCTCCCAAAGTGGCATTGATACAGTGATCTACAAAAAACCTGCACGTTAATGGATGTACAGCCTTAACAGACTGTAGGGGCAAGTGCTGTTAGCGAGCAACTATGAAGGCCGGAATGGTACACGAGGGGGTGGGTGGCCAGCACCACGCCCGACCACCTTTGTATCCCCAGTGGTGATGTTTACACAACCACACGAGGTACTCATTTTAGGCTGAGTCGACCTAGGGTGGTGGGCACAGTGATTCGTGCACCGTGCGATGAACCTGGGGAGTCTGAGTCAATCCTGACCATCGTTAACGTCAGTAGCGAGCAATATAAGAACCGGTCTCAACTCCCCCCACCCCCAACATTTCTATTCCTCACCAACCTGCACCGACCAGTGTGGCGATGTGTGGTCAAATATCCCCAATGGCCTACAGAGTGTAGTGTGTATCGAGTGCGGAGTGGCCTTCATCCAGACATTTTAGAACATTAATAGCATTGAAGAGTAGGCCAAAAATATCCGATAGAGGACACGCTCTCGATCACCCTCTCTATGTAAGAGGCCCTTCCCGCTCAGCAGTAGCGTGAGCGAGCAACCACAGCATGGCTGCACCTTTACTTCTTTCACACACAACATCAACAACAACAACAACCACCACAAACATGTGTCCACTATTCCGGACCACGCAGCCCAAGTGCCGTCGCTATCCCTGGCCGAGCTGGAGGACCGGCTGCTCAAGAGGATGCTGAAGGACTACCAGAAGTGGGTGCGCCCTGTGGAAAGGCTCAGCGACACGGTGGAGGTCAAGTTTGGCCTCGGCATTGCCCAGCTGGTGGATGTGGTGAGCCCTCCGGAAATTGTAATTCGACGGCAGATCAAAACTGTTGTCGTTGAAACAAGAGCAGCATATGGCTTATATATCCCTACGGCTGTTTGGTGTTGTTGTCGTTAATGTTGTTGTTTTTTTAATATTGTAACGCTTGGGTAAATCTGTAACGGCACAAAACAGAAAGCATTTGCAACAATCACAGCTGATGTGTCCGCTTAACGCCGGGGATTCTCTCAAATCTCGATAACGCGCGTGTCGCCAAACGCCGTAGCACGGCAGCCGGAGGTTCAGAGGGATGATCACCATTATAAAAAATATTGAAACGTGCAAGTCTACGTGTTCGTTTATAGTTGCATTGATCTGACTTAAATGGTTGTTTAATTATAATAAGTCTTTGATAACGATGGCACTTTCATGGACACTGCGTAAAGCTTGTCCTGTTTATTTTTATTTTCAGGATGAAAAAAACCAGCTCATGACCACAAATGTCTGGCTGAAGCAGGTAATCCGGCACCGCAGTTACACAACGTTCGATAGAAATGTGGTTAACGGGGAGATTTCAATACCTGTGCGTGCCCACACATTGAATTGTGCTGCTGCTGCTGCTGCTGCCGCCACCACCGCTGATGCTGCTCCTGCAAATGAATCCCTAAACTGTCAGTGCACGCGTAACTGGTGCGTGTTTTGGCAGGAGTGGCTGGATATTAATCTCCGATGGAATCCTGACGACTACGGCGGGATTAACTCAATCCGTGTTCCCGCGAGCTCGATATGGCTTCCCGACATAGTGCTCTACGACAAGTGAGTGCGTGCGAGTGTGCGGTTGGATTTGTATTGCGGCGTTTACATAACCGCGGGGCCCCGCTCACTCGAACACGTGATACGCGACTTCAAGGGGAACGCATTTCAACGTCGGCCTGACACTTTTTTGTGAGTGGCCCACGGCAGAAGCCCACAAGCCAGGCCACGTGGCTGGATGTCTGGCTGTCTGCGCGTCGTTCTGTCGTGTCCCGGGGGTAGTGGTTGGGGGGGGGGGCATGTTCGCGAGACAGCTAAAGTAAAATGACGTTGATGTGTTGCCGTCCAGGTGGTGCATCATCGTCGCCAGTCATCGTGCACGTTATCTCTTGAGCAACTGTGATGCGTGGAATGGATACGCTTGTTGTTGTTGTTATTAAAATATTTGAGCTTCCTAACATTGAGCGCTTGCTTTTCACGCGTGCTCTTTGCACGTTTTAACGCGTGTACTATGACGACTCATGGCCCCAATCACTAGAGCCACTCATAGCAGCTGCTCACGTGTTTGATTCACATTCTGTTTTGGCCAACGGCTCCATTGGAAACGCGACTTTTGGAATCTAGTTGGGTTTTTGTTACGTGTCTGTGTACATAGCAGAACAATATGTCTCTTATATTTACAAAATGTTACCAGAATGTAATTGCATTTGTTTAAAATTAACGTAAGAGGGTGCTCTTATGTAATTACGAATGTAATTGTATTTTTTTTTCTTCCAATTGGATTTCTAGTGCAATAAAGAAAGAAACACATCAAAACCATTTAGACTCTGCATGCTTATACAGCAATAAAAATGTTTTAAAGAAACAGTGACGTCAACTTTTATAACGCATTCAATTCATGCCATTTGCACAATACATATGCCAAGGGTTTGCAATGCAGGGTAAACACACACATACATCTAATGCAGGAAACATCTTTAAGTGACATCGATACGATGGGACCTTGACAACATTTTTGTTTAGTTCCATTTTTTGTCAAGTTTTTTCAGTGTGGTATGGCCTTGAACAGCGCGTAGATTATAACCAGCCTGCTGTCTGGAATGGATTATGTTGCACGGCACACATGCACAAAAAGACAAAAATCCCCCGTATAGCCTTAGTAGACTTTTGGGGCAAGTGCTGTTAGCGAGCACCTATGAAGGCCCGCACTGCACACGAGGGGGTGGGTGGCCAGCACCACGCCCAGCCGCCTTTGTCTTCCCAGTGGAGATGTTTACACACCGCACCAGGTACTAATGTTGAGGCTGACTCGACCTAGGGGGGAGGCCCAGGACCGGTTCAGATAATCGTCACTGGCGTTGGCCATGAGCGGGAATCGAACTCGGGTTGCCGGGATCGTAGCGCAGCGCGCTAACCACTACACTACCGCTCCACCCACATACCGAAAAACAAAGACAAAGATCCCCCATATAGCCTTAAATAGGCTGTTGGAGCAAGTGCTGTTAGCGAGCATCTATAAAGTCCGAAACGGCACACGAGGGGGTGGGTGGCCAGCATCACGCCTGGCCGCCTTTGTCTCCCCAGTGGCGATGTTTTTACACACCGCACCAGTTACACCAAAGACAAAGATCCCCCGTATAGCCTTAACAGACTGTCGGGGCAAGTGCTGTTAGCGAGGACCTGTGAAAGACAGAACGGCACACGAGGGGGTGGGTGGGTGGCCAGCACCACACACGGCCCCCGTTCGGCAATGTCACTCCGAAAGAACCAAAGAGTAACCAAAGAGTAATGTCAGTCCGGCCGGGGCGAGCGTTCCACAGCACCTCCTCGGGTCGTTGTTCCGCGCGCGCGCTCCCGAGGTGACATCGCGCCCGCGCGCTGTCCCTTTACGCACCACCCCCCCGCCCCCCCACGTTGCAGCGCCGACGGCCGCTTCGAAGGCTCCATCGTCACCAAGGCGGTGGTGAAACACGACGGCCGGATCAAGTGGACGCCGCCGGCCATCTACAAGAGCTCGTGCACCATCGACGTCACCTTCTTCCCCTTCGACCAGCAGAACTGCTCCATGAAGTTCGGCTCGTGGACGTACGACGGCACCCTCGTCGACCTCATCATGGTCAACAGCGACGTGGACCGCGGCGAGTACTTCGACAACGGCGAGTGGGAGTTCCTGAACGCCACGGGCAACAAGGGCGTGCGCCTCGACGGCCACCGCTTCTACCCGTACATCACGTACTCGTTCGTCATCCGGCGGCTGCCTCTCTTCTACACACTCTTCCTCATCGTGCCGTGCCTGGGCCTCTCCTTCCTCACGGTCTTCGTCTTCTACCTGCCCTCCGACGAAGGCGAGAAGATCTCGCTGTGCACCTCCGTGCTCGTGTCCCTCACCGTCTTCCTGCTGGTCATCGAGGAAATCATCCCGTCCTCGTCCAAGGTGATTCCGCTCATCGGCGAGTACCTGCTCTTCATCATGATCTTCGTCACGCTCTCCATCATCATCACGGTGTTCGTCATCAACGTGCACCACCGCTCGTCGTCCACCCACCACCCGATGGCACCCTGGGTGCGCCAGCTCTTCCTGCACAAGCTGCCCAAGATCCTGTGCATGCGGAGTCACGTCGACCGATACACGGCGTCGGACGAGGCGGACCACGCCGATCCGGGCCGCGCGGGATGCGCCTGCCACGGCGGGGAGTCGCCGCCCAGCGCCTCGGAGCGGCTCATCCTCACGGCTATCGACTCGGTGCGCTACATCACGCGGCACATCAAGAAGGAGAACGAAGTTCGAGAGGTGAGTGGGTGGGTGAGTGAGTGGGTGAGTGGGTGAGTGAGTGGGTGGGTGAGTGGGTGAGTGAGTGGGTGGGTGAGTGGGTGAGTCGGTGGGTGAGTGAGTGGGTGGGTGAGTGGGTGGGTGAACGGGTGGGTGGGTGGGTTAGTGGGTGATGAAGTGGGTGGGTGGGTGAATGGGTGAGTCGGCGGTGAATGGGTGGGTGGGTGGATGGGTGAGTCGGTGGGTGAGTTGGTGGTGTGTGGGTGGGTGAGTGAGTGGATGGGTGAACGGGTGGGTGGGTGAGTGGGTGGGTGGGTGAACGGGTAAGTCGGTGGTGAATGGGTGAGTAGGTGAGTGGGTGGGTGGGTGAACGGGTGGGTGATTGGGTGCGGTGAGCGAGTGCGTGTGGGACGTCTCGAGCCAAGAAGATCGCGGTAATGGCTCTCGTCGCTTGCCTGTGGATCGAATGTTGGATGCCACTCGCATGCGGAGTGCGTCTGTATGTATTGATCTGTGTGTGTCTGTGTGTGTGCGCTTCACAGCCGAAGCACAGGCGGCGATATGAAGTGCGTGTATAGTGTCAAAACAGAAGCATCGACATCGCGGATGGCCGGTTAAGTAGTCGCCAAATCACAGGTGGCCAATTAAAGAGCGGCTCAATGAAAGGCAGACAACTCAGAAGTCATCAACAACATGATCACGATCCATGGGCAGATAGCCAGTAGTAGGTGCACACTGCACATTGCGTCATTTGTTTTCACTTTCCTCTCTGTCGTGTGCCAATATGCTCAAGTAGTGTCAAATCTTTCTGGCCAACAAAGAGTGGTCAAATCAAATGTGGCTTATTAAGAAGGGACTGAAGCAGGAGGGGCCACATCAATTGGGCAAATCGAGGGTGACCTTTTCAATTTGTTCCTAGAACAGGTGCCTAAATCGTGAATGCCCAACACAGTGTTGGTCATTAAAGTCGCGGACGAATCACAGGCGATCTTAACCGCGTTCCAAAAGGAGAAATGGCCAAAAGGCCTTGCGTCTCCTCGGTTGTCACTCTGGTATCAGCGTATGATTATCCTGAGATGTGGATCACTCTGACACACACTACGGGACTCCCTCGACTGCAGTCCTACATACTTTACACACACAAAGTGCTCGCCACAAATGAACCACAACGCCTCGCTGATATCGTCAAGAAGCATAAACCACCATCACGCGAACTCCGCTCATCCTCTAAGCAGCAGCGGCGGCTTTTCGCTGCTCGCCATCGAACAAAGATGGCGGTCAACCGCATCGCCCGCTTTCAGATGCGCTTCTGCGACCGTCTGGAATGCTCTTTTACTTCCGATATTAGGAAACCACTGGGGCTACGCACCTTTACATCATCTATGTTGAAAACTCATTTATTTAGAGCTTGGTTGCTACTCACGCATTCACATGTAGGCGAGTGCGTGCGCGTGTGTGTGTGTGGTTATGTGTGGGAGTGCATTCTGCACTCATGGCTGCGTGTGCACAGACGCGTTCATGCGTAGTCGTGTGCATGGATGCGTGTGGCTTGGGGGTTGTGAGTGTACATGTGTGCGTATGTATGTATGAGTGGGGAGCGGTAGTGCAATGGTTTGCGTGCTGCGCTACGAACCCGGCGACCCGAGTTCAATTCCTGCTTACGGCCAACTCCGGTGACGATTATTTGAATCGGTCCTGGGCCTCTCCTGGTGCGGTGTGTAAACATCGCCACTGGGGAGACAAGGACGGCCAGGCGTGGTGTTGGCCACCCAGCCCCTCGTGTGCCGTGTCAGGCCTTCATAGGTGCTACTCGCTAACAGCACTTGCCCCAACAGTCTGTGCAGGCTATAGCGCGGGCTCTCTGTCTTGGGCTATGTATGTGTGTGTGCTCCATCTATTCCTTCCGCTGCACGACAAGCCGCCCAGTGCAGCCTGCACCCCTGCACGCGAGGTGCGGAGCTGACGGAGCGTGTAAATGCAAGGTCAAACCTTGAGAACACAATTCAGGAGGGATAACGCGCCCGACACCCACAGGGGCATCTGTGTGGCTGTGTGACTAAGTGGCTCTGCGACTGTGTGGATGTGTGCGTGCATGAAGGCCTCGTTTCTCTGTTCCCTAAGACTCTGTGCTGCCCAGACAACCAAACTGGACCTGGGTCTTGTCGCTCCTTCCCTGCACCTCCGATTAGCACGGTTGGCTGCGTAAGGGCGGAAGATGTTCAACAAACATACAGTCAGTCAGTCTGAATTAAGGTCTCCCCAGGGAGTTATTGAACCACCTGGCGGTTATTAATATCATCATTATCGTCCATGGCATGTCTACTACTAGATGAAGGCCTCAACATAACCCAATGCTCACCATGGACGAACTCCACTGAGATGCCAGATCAAGATTGGCCACGTCAGTTGGACAACCAAATCAGAGTTGCTTTACCTGAGGTCACCAAACTATTGGTGAAATCATCAGGGATCAAATCAGAATTTGAGTAATGTAGGGATAATCTTGATTTGAAGCTTCCGTGACTGCTGGAATCCATACTCTTTGGTTCGTTCGGTAAATTCACGTAGTTAGAAATTAAATAAAAATACAAAAATCACGACGTTTCGATGGCAACACAAGCGGTCGTCATCGCTTGTGTTGCCATCGAAACGTCGTGATTTGTTTTATTTTATTTCTAACTACGCGACTTTACCGAAAGAACCAAAGAGTATGAATGTAATTCATCTTTGACTTGTGCGCCTTTTGGCGTCATCTGGTCCAACACCATGTGAGACTAGGCTCTAAGAAAAACTGTCTCGGGTGTGGACCACTCAATCTCAAGGACGTGTGTTTTTTTGTTTGCATTCCGACCGCAGGTATTGTGGTCAATGCAAACATGACTCCTTGTAGAAAAAGGTGTCAGTTTTGTCGCCAGATAGAAGGGTAAAAAACCAATTATCATATTTTGCTACTGGCAAAGGAGATTCCAATGGTGAGTATGAATGTAGGCATAGTAGGTACGTCACTGTCATAGTTATTGTACGGTGCGGAAGAAGTTCGACACACGTTTGTTTGCACGTGTAGCCCCTTTGGAAATCCACTGCTAGATGAAAGGTCTCCCCACCTCGTACCAGTGTGGGGCAGGGGAAGGGATTGTCCAGGACCGGTTCAGATATTGGTCGCTTGGTTCGTTGCACGGTGCGCAAACCACCGCACCGCCACTCCATCATGAACCACCATGGAACACTCACTTGATAGAACACTCACTTTGTAGATCATTCACTTTGTAGATAATTCACTTTGTAGATCATTCACTTTGTAGATCATTCACTTAATAGAACATTTACTTTGTAGAACACTCACTTCGTAGAACATTCACTTTGTAGATCATTCACTTTGTAGAGCATTCACTTTGTAGATCATTCACTTAATAGAACATTCACTTTGTAGAACACTCACTTCGTAGAACATTCACTTTGTAGATCATTCACTTAATAGAATATTCACTTCATATAACTTTAACTTTATAACCACTTTACATTGAGGCGTGTTTAATTCCGTGCAAGATTAATTAACCACTGCGCGCGATACAAATACGCGCCGTGAACATTGCAGATGGTGTGGACTCACGTCCCGAGACGCAATGCGATAGCCACCCACGCACATGTCAAGAGAAACGCGCGTGTGAAGTGCGTGCACCTGCAACCTGCAGAGGGCGTGCAGAGAGCTCTTGCTGAAGTGGTGCCAATGGTCCCAGCATCAGCTCGTTCACCGCTGACTGCAGAGGTTTGCAGTGCCAGTCCGGCAAGCCGCCCTGGTTAATTCTGCAGGTGTATTAAGCTTACAACGCTTACGTGCCGTCTGGTTCACGGTGGGCGTGAAAGACGCCATTCGAACGGAGTAGACCATTGTGGGGCCGGCGTCGTGGCCCTAATTTGTAAAGATTAAAATGTTTACCTGGAAACAACTCATGAGAATCAGAATGTGTATTTATGTTGGAGGAATCCGACGATCTATTCATCTCTTTTTCACAGATGTCCACAAAGCAACATTGCCCCGCCCCCTACCGTGCAACCACTGCATGCAATGTCCGTGAAAGTTAGCGTCTTCCTTGGCGACGATAGCGGATGCAACATTGTAATCTGTTTGCTATCGCTGCCGTGGATTCTTTTAACCCTTGCACGCGTTTGCGCGCCCCGTGTGCTTTTGACTGAAGGTGGTTGAAGACTGGAAGTTCGTGGCTCAAGTCGTGGACAGGATATTGCTGTGGACCTTCTTGTCGGTGTCGGTCTTCGGATCCATACTCATTTTCCTTCCGACAATCTACGCCTGGCGTAGCTTTGACTTCATACCGTCAACCGAAATCCCCTGTCCCTAAATAATAATAATTAGTATTAGATTCACAACCGTCAGAAGACACGTTTTTTTTTGTCTTGCCTTAACTGGATGGAGATTTTGTTGGTAACGCGCAAGCACACACACGCAAACGCACGCGGCATGTTTGGCTGGTCGTTTTATATTGTCTCATTAACCGTTAGCCTAATGCTATTTTATCCGCAACTGTTGTACGCACTGTTGGATATTACGGGAACAAAAAACGCAGCTGCGCGAAAGAAGTTACCGTTACGTAGCGAAAACTAGAAAACTATTTAATGCATGCTATTCTGCATGAACGTTTCATGAATTACCGTAAAAGCACAACTCCTAACGGTGCAGCTTTGTAAAAAAAAAACTTTGCCATAATAAGACTTTGCCAATACGGCAACATCAGACGCACGGTTCACTGCAGGAGGCAGTCTGTAATGTTTTATTATCAGCCGTTATCCCTGTGTGTGGTCACCTCTCACCTACCAAAGTAACCTGCAGCACTTATACACCCTGCCCCCTGTGTGAGCCCCACACGCCACTGGGACCCCACGTGACACCACACGCACACTCCCGTCGACGCGTATTGCGTTGTAGCCACCGGGTCTGCGATAGGCATTTTCACTCTGCACACACGGATCGTTGTCGCTGTTCCCAGAATGACTTGTCAAATATCTCACACGTCGGATTCATCAGAGTGTCCGAACGCAGTTCGAAGACACGTACACAACAACGGGCTAACGAGATTGGAGCATCCAGGTGAAAGGAGGCATGCTGGTTTAGTTAATTAATAAAATAAAAAAGAGACGGAGGCAAAAAAAAGCAGAGGATAGGAGAACGATCCCGGAGCCTGGACTTGAATCGGGGCAGAGAGTTGACGGCACGGATGGCTGGGGAAGGGAGTTTGAGATTGCTTGCTCGACAGGGGACAATGAGCGGCGGTCGACTGAAGTCTTGGGCAGAACGTCGCCGGTTTCTGCAGTGTCGAGTCCGTGGAGACGAGTAGAGTGAGACGAGAGGGGAGAAGTGGGAGAGTGCGTGGAGGGGAGTAGAGTGAGATGAGAGGTAGGAGAGTGCGTGGAGGGGAGTAGAGTGAGAGGAGAGGGGAGAGGTGGGAGAGTGTGTGGAGGGGAGTAGAGTGAGATGAGAGGGGAGAGGTGGGAGAGTGCGTGGAGGGGAGTGGAGTGAGATGAGAGGTAGGAGAGTGCGTGGAGGGGAGTAGAGTGAGAGGAGAGGGGAGAGGTGGGAGAGTGTGTGGAGGGGAGTAGAGTGAGATGAGAGGGGAGAGGTGGGAGAGTGCGTGGAGGGGAGTGGAGTGAGATGAGAGAGGAGAGGTAGGAGAGTCCGTGGAGGAGAGAAGAGTGAGATGAGAGAGGAGAGGTGGGAGAGTCCGTGGAGGAGAGTAGAGTGAGATGAGAGGGGAGAGGTAGGAGAGTGCGTGGAGGGGAGTAGAGTGAGATGAGAGGTGGGAGAGGTGGGAAGGTGTGTGGAGGGGAGTAGAGTGAGATGAGAGGGGAGAGGTAGGATAGTGCGTGGAGGGGAGTTGAGTGAGATGAGAGGGGAGAGGTGGGAGAGTGCGTGGAGGGGAGTTGAGTGAGATGAGAGGTGGGAGAGGTGAGAGGGTGTGTGGAGGGGAGTAGAATGAGATGAGAGGCGAGAGGTAGGAGAGTGCGTGGAGGGGAGTAGAGTGAGATGAGAGGGGAGAGGTAGGAGAGTGCGTGGAGGGGAGTAGAGTGAAATGAGAGGGTAGAGGTAGGAGAGTGCGTGGAGGGGAGTAGAGTGAGATGAGAGGGGAGAGATGGGAGAGTGCTTGGAGGGGAGTAGAGTGAGATGAGAGGGGAGAGATGGGAGAGTGCGTGGAGGGGAGTAGAGTGAGATGAGAGGTGGGAGAGGTGGGAGAGTGCGTGGAGACGAGTAGAGTGAGATGAGAGGGGAGAGGCAGGAGAGTGCGTGGAGGAGAGTAGAGTGAGATGAGAGGGGAGAGGTGGGAGAGTGCTTGGAGGGGAGTAGAGTGAGATGAGAGGGGAGAGGTGGGAGAGTGCTTAGAGGGGATTCGAGTGAGATGAGAGGTGGGAGAGTGCGTGGAGGGGAGTAGAGTGAGATGAGAGGTGGGAGAGGTGGGAGGGTGTGTGGAGGGGAGTTGAGTGAGACGAGAGAGGAGAGGTAGGAGAGTGCGTTGAGGGGAGTAGAGTGAGACGAGAGGGGAGAGGTAGGAGAGTGCGTGGAGGGGAGTTGAGTGAGATGAGAGGTGGGAGAGGTGGGAGAGTGCATGGAGGGGAGTAGAGTGAGATGAGAGGGGAGAGGCAGGAGAGCGCGTGGAGGGGAGTAGAGTGAGATGAGAGGTGGGAGAGTGCGTGGAGGAGAGGAGAGTGATATGAGAGGGGTTAAGTACGTTACAGACACTTGCAATGATGTATAAGAATAGGTTTGACCATTTCTGGCAATAAAACCGTTGTGTTAAGATGCTAAAATACCAAACAGAAACCTTTTTGCAAGGAATCAAGTCTGCGTTCATCACAGATACGTGTGGCAAGGGAGGTCCCATGTTGTAGCTGCTCACCCCGAGCTCTCAATGTCGTGATAAGGGCATTGTCTTTGTGCTGTTCGCCTTTCGGCGTCCTCTGGTCTAACACTGCTTGAGACGAGGCTCTAAAGAGAGCTGTCTCTGGTGTGGGCCAATCAGTTTCAAAGACAATGCATCATATACTATCAAAGCACGTTTTTGTTGTTTGCATGTTCACCACAAGTATATTTGGTTAATGCAGACATGATTCCTTGCAAAAAGGTTTCAGTTTGATGTCGAAATGATGTCTTTACTGATTGAGCACGTTTTTTCTTCTTCTTCCGATGACGAGTATTTTCATTTCGTTCAGACTAGCTGTAGATTGTAAGAACCAATGCAAGGTGAGACCACGTCAGGGCGGGATGGTGAGAGTGGGTGATAGTCGCTGTTGCTCCGCAATGAATATTCACTCATTTTAAACGCACGTGTTTAGATTGCCAGACAATTGTTTTGTCTTTGCTCCGTGATACAGAAAATATCCTGTTTGTTACGAGTGGTGATACAATGTCCTTCCATGTCAAGTGCTCCGCAAGTACTCGGTTCAAATCTACGAAGTTGTGATTGAAATGTTCACCAAAGTGATTGATTGTTGATGACCCCCACTCCCCCCCCCCCGTCATATCGTGGAAGTGTTTTATGCAATTGTCGCCTTCTTCCAGAAACCAAGCGACTTACCCACTCGTGGGCATGTATGGATTCACCGCTTCGCAATTCAACGCATAATCACGATTGGTAATTGCGATTCGATTTAAAAGTTGCATTTTTTTCCCTTTGCCACTGCGGCTCATGTGTTTTCTCCGGCATTCATGAGAAGCAATTAAACACGCGGCAATGATGCAACGAAAATAATCGAGTCTCAAACACACGTGATTCAATGCCTGTATCGTGAGCGTGAGAATGAAGGTCGGATTGACGAATCGATGAATCGTTACGTGCCTACGGACTTAACCATCGATGGGTTCTCTGGTGTCAGGCCACAACTTTGTTGTTGCGTAGGCTTTGAAATTGCTTTACAAGCAATGTAATTTTCCACTGTAGCATGTGACCTTTAATGACACCAATGATATATACTTACGATAAAGAGTGCTGTATATTCTTAATGTTAAGGTCATGCGTTCAGTTCAGTTTAGTTCATTTATTAGGTATAGCCCTGTGAGCCATTCGGCTCTTGAATCGGGTACAACCGCAATAAACAAAAACATGAACAAGAAACATCTTAAAGTGACTACGTGCAACAAAAAAATCCAGGAAAAAACAGCAAAGTCTTCCAGAAAAACACCGCATATCAACGCTGTGCGCAAAAATCCCAGTGGGATGCAAGTCAAACAATAACAACCACAAGACAATTTAGATTAAAGTTATCAGTCTGACTCTGTACAACAACAAACAAATATGGCTAATCCAAAACGTTTTCGAAATCACCAAAATAAAGCTATAAAAACAACGTAACAGTGATCATAGGAACTGTGATTCAAATTTAACAATAAACAATATACATAACATGTACGATAACTGATTCATTTTACAGCCTTTCCCTGTCGTGTCGGTCATTTGGAGTTGTTTGACCATACTTCACCATGCTGGTGAATGTGGGTTGGTGAAGAAGGGGTGAAGACTGGTCTGTGTGTCACTCGCCACGAGAAGCTGGTGGCTGTGACCAGGAATGGAATTGTGGTCGGTGGGTCAACCACGGTGCCACTGCTGACATCCAGGCAAATATTGAGGAAATAAAAATAAAAAAAATCATCATCCTCAGCAGCAACAAAAAAAATAGTTATCGCCACTCAGGCATCGAATTTGAGCTGAGCTAACCGATTATTGATTTCATCAATAACTCTTCTGTTATCAATTTGATTATTCACTTTGATTGTATGTTTTACTCGTGGTCAGGTGGGTTTGTATCCGGATCCTCTGGTTTTTTTCCACCTGACGTGCGTTTCGATTATTTGACTGCTATAAATTCGCACGTGACAAGCCACTTCGTTGAGCTATCATTTGTGGCCAGGTCGCTCTCCTGAAAAAGAGCTACACAGCTCAGTTTCGTTTAACTCAATCGGATAACACGAAAATAGAAAAAAAAGTATCACCTCTGTTGCCGCATGTGCCATTGGACGGGAGGTGAATGAGAGGGCTCTGTAACGTGATCGCCATTATCAGCTGCGTCACGCTGGGCATGCCTGCAGGAGGAATTTCCCCACCTTCAAGAGGCAGTGTGTTGGTACAGCTGCCGTTTTAAAGGGGCCTAAGTCATCAGCCAAAAAGTAGTCGATTATAATTCATAATAAAGGCTTTTGGGTTAGATCGCACAAGTACAAATGTGTCGTAACCCTCCACCACCGACACAGCCAGTAAGGTTTGTCACGTAAACACAACGCACCATTTAAATGTTGTGGAATTACTCTTCAACACACCGGTGGGCTGAAGTAGTAAACTCATTGTCGCGTTTTGTTTATGTGACAAACCTTACTGGTTGTGTCGGTGGTGGAGGGTTACGACACATTTATATTTACGCGATCTAACCTAAACAACCTTTATTATGAATCATATTGGTCGCGAAAGCCGACGTGTTAAACGATTATAATTTGTATAGATTCATTGATCATCTATTCCAGCTCCACACGGCATCTCTTTGACAGAGGAGATGGACGCAAAGGCGAGAAACACCAACACGGAGCAACGCGATGATGCTGGTTGCAATTACCAGCGAAACGTCGTACTCAAATTGTAAATGTTGTGGCTTCAACACACCGGTGGGCTAAAGCAGTGAACTATTTGTCTTTGTCAACGTGACACATTTTTTACTGATTGGCCGTGTCGGGTGGTGGAGGGTTACGACACATTTATAAATAACGCGATCTAAACCCAAAAACGTTGATTATGAATAACATTGGTCGCGAAAGCCTACGTGTTAAACTGAGAATATAACTGCCTACGAAAAGCGGAGAACAGATACGTACACCTCTGTGTTGTTTGACAATGTCAACGACCATTGCGCCACGCCTTTTGAAAACTCATATCACGAGCGATTTCGTCGGCAACTTTGAAGAGTTACGATTGAAAGGTCCCGAACAGAGGATGGCGCTTCGTGATGGCCCCACGTAGATGGCCTGTGCTGATGTTGCTCAGGGGTTTTTATTTTTGTTAAAGTGAGGACCGCATTAATTCTAGATTTGAAGCTTTCGTGACTGCAAGGATTCATATTCTTAGGTTTTTTTCAGTAAAGTCACGTAGGTAAAAACATCAAAATTAATGAAAATAAAATAAAATAAAACAAAAAATCACGACGTTTCGGAGGCAACACAAGTCTCCGGTCCCACCTGATGACGGAGACTTGTGTTGCCTCCGAAACGTCGTGATTTTTTGATTTATTTTTATTTTTCATTAATTTTGATGTTTTTACCTACGTGACTTTACCGAAAAAACCTAAGAATATGAGGACCGCATGTACATTTTTTTTTTGCATGATCCCTCAAAGGATCTGTACCCAAACCCTTGGCACCTC